TGATAACTCTAAAGATTTTAATTGGATTTGTACAGTTGGTACACCAGTATAAAAATATTTTTTCCAAGAATTCGGTTTCATGAAAAAGTCAACTTACGAGATAAGTAGGCTTGGGGGGGGGGGGGTGTTTCGCTTAAAATTAAAAATATGTGGATGTTTGATGAACATAAATGTGATATCAGATTAAAGTTTAATTAATTGAAGTTCAGTTTGACACACTAAAATTTGTTTTGTAATCCATTTAAAAAATGAAAATCTCCGTCATTATGTTTTAAAATAGACAATAATTCTAAAAATATCATCTTAATTATTAGTAAAAAATTATACCATATTAGTTTAAAAATATAAGCTCAAAATTACTACGAAAATTGAAAATAAACAAACAGGTAATACGATTTAATTTGTAATTATGTATTATATAATATGTATTAGTTAATAACAAAATATCATACAGTTATGAACACTTTATAACTTAAACCTATAATTATGAAATGCCTTTTTGTTAAACCTTTCACGGTTGTATGTAAATGACCATTCTGTAATGTTGTATTATATTAATATTTATGTACGAATAATGCGTATGTTAAAATAAAAGAATAACTAATATCAATATGACCAATCAATGAAACAAAATAATAGGAAAAATTCTATAAAAATTTATTCGCTACAGTACCACAATAAATTCAAAATTAAACTCTTCTGGATTCCCGGTCACTCCGATATAAAAGAAAACGAACTCGCCGATCTTGCAGCTAAAACTGCAATCACCTCCCCACTATCATTATACATTCAAATCATTCCACTCAGTGACATACGAATGCTTATACCAATAAATGTAAACTTAGATGGCACCAGAAGTGGACATCTTACTTTACAAAATTAAACCGTATTAAACACAATACAGACAATTGGATATTCCCTATCGAAATCCATAGAAAATTTGAGGTCATAATAACAAGACTCAGAATCGGCCACACTCGAATTTCTCACAGTTTCCTAATGGCCAAAGAAGAACATCCAATATGCACATCTTGTGGTGTCCAAGTCACCATCTACCACATCCCCACCGAATGCCGAACATACCACAACTTCCGAACAAGCCTCAACCTACCCAAATCACTTGCAGAAATATTAAGCAATAACCCTCAATCCATAGCCAACATCATCTAGCTCATTACAGCCGCGAACCTCCAAAACAAAATTTAATTAACTCTTAGTCATAGTTATAGTCTTAGAATTAGTACTTTCGTCAATTTGTATTAATTAATCAATTTCATTTTAAGCCCAATGGCCCATGCTGCCGAGGGTATATTATATATAATAATAATAATAAAAAAAAAAATTCTATAAAAAAAACTGGCTTGTTTCTGTAAAACGTGATATTTTTGTGAGTTTTTATTTTTTTTTTCAGAACAAAACAGTAACTCAACAATATTTTACGTTCCTGCACGAATCAATGTGAGTTTTCTATATTAAAGTTAATTTTTAAAACAAAAGAGTAACACAGCAATATTTTAATTTCGGGTACATAATACCTTTAAACTAATTTTTCATAATGATTTTAACGTCATGTAATATATGAATGAGAAAAATCTCAGTTGATTAGAAAAAAATGTGATTTGTTTTTTAGACATTTACTTACAATCTTCGGTAGCTTACAATAAATGTTTAGTATTTACAAATATTTAAAAAAGTAATTCATGAATGAATTCCATCTTGAGTGTTAAAATCTTTAAATCCTTTAAACTACTTCCGTTTTATTTAGTATTCAGCTAAAAATACAGAGCGAAAAAATGATCGCAATGAGTAATAACAAGAGTAATGTTTCTCAAATAAATTAATTGTGTTTAATCTTTGACTTAAAAAGTCAATAAGTTAAAATGTGTGTATTCATTTGATGCATTCAGCGATTATTATTAGTCGACAGCTGTAAAGCCAACTTAGGGACATAAAAACTTGATGAATTTGATTATTAAATAAATTACAGATCTTTTGAGTCACAGACGGTTATACAAAACCAGTGTGATAAATTGGGATTACAAAACCCATTAGGGTAACAACTTTTTGTAACTTATTTTCTAAAATGCATTTTTATTTATCGGGAACGAAAATGCAGAGAATAATCGACTACCTTCGGTTTTCAGTCGTCTGATGCTGAAGATAATTTACTTTCGAAACGAATCAATCAACCATTATAAACGCATGATACTCTTATTAAAATTTCTCTCGTACTTATGGTTTTCTTTAAATCAATTTGGTGATAAATAAATAATGTGAGTTGATTTCTTTGAATTCATGAAACGAATATTAATATATATATTTAGGAATTATTTAATATAAACATTTGATTTTAGCATATTGCATTATGTTTTATTCCTAAACCTTCGTGTATTGAGATGTTTCAAAATTTGTTGCTCTTCTAGTATATTCTTCACTTTTTGATTCACAGAATCGAAGTTATATGATTAGCGTGGTAATGTAAAAATAATTATTTAACGAGTGTAAGTTTTCAACTTGGTTATGTCCTAATATGTGATTTTCCAAAAAAAAAAATATCTATTTATTTTTTATGGTGATACAATATAATACATCATATTTTGCATGTCATGTATTATATGCAATAAAAATGCATTCATTTAATTGTATTTAACTCAAACTATTATGAAATAATTTAAGATTATAAATTGTTTTAAAAAATATTCTATTTTAGTACACATACTATAACTTACGAGAGTCCTTCGTATTTCTGTGTTTCGAATTTGAGTATCCATTATTCTTTTTCAACCCGAATTATATTTGTTTGTTATTTAAAAACACAATAACCGGAAATAACTGGCAACTCTAATTTTGAATGATGGCAAATGTGTTACGTATAATATGTTTAGAGGTATTGACTGATTTACTTTAAAATATGGGTTCATGTATTTGCATACTTGTGTATTGTGCACAGGTAAACCTCGTATTACTAAAATGATCTTAAATAATGGTATACTTCATATTTCAGACAGCCTGATTTGTTCGTCCTACGACACCGTTGTATTGTTGTACGACACTTCATGGTGTGTCGGATACATCGAAATTAATATGTTCTTAATATGCTTAAACGCGACTTTGTACGCTTTAGATAAACCACCGATGTGTAATACGATATGCGCACTAATACACCTTGATATGACAACATTAAATCGATTTTATATTATCCAACATGTATTATAATATTATAACTCTAGGTATATCCCAGTATACACGGTAGAGGTTTATGCCGATAATATACCATACAAAAAAGTATAGTTACGTTCAGACTCTCCTGAAGGTCTGAGTAGAAACCTCAAGTTTGGCAAGCACTAGCAAGTGGCAACAATAATAGCCTACGATATTATTATGTATGGAGTTCAGTTTAAAAAACGACCGTGTATATTATTATACTTAACAACATTTGGTTTTCAGACTCGAGACTGGAATTACAATGTAATGCATATCAATCACTTTTTTTCCAAGAAAAAAAAAACGCCGAAGTACAATTTTAGTCGTTAAAATATATTATAGAAAACGTGCTTGTTCACTCCACAAATTCAATATAATATTCTCGGCTACGGGTGCCGCATACATTCATTATTTCGTCTCTTATTTTTTCAGTCAATAGTACTTTAAGACCAATTTGACAAAATATATATTTTTTTTTTATCATCAGCTGTTTACATTTACGAAGTCAATTTATTGTGCCTAAATAAATACACAAAAAAAAATGTATAATTGTTCAGGTTTAAAAGTTGTATATACTATATACACTAAAAATCAATCCAGTACTTCATTATCACAAATATTTGTTAGAGAAAAGGTAAATTAGGGGGCTTTGGAAGAAAATTAATATTGTATTTATTAAGAGGTTTTTTCAAAAATTTCAATGCAAATAAAGATTAAGTGTAGTAAACAAACAAATTACAATTAGCTACATTAATAAGTTATTGATTGATTATAAGTTAATATTTAAAATGAAGCTTTGGAATTCTCAGTTACTTAATAACATTGCATTTAGTTATGTACTCATATCGATAAAAATGATATGTTTTTCACTATTTTCACATTAATTATACTCCCTTAAATAATAAGCAGTTATTTTATGGATTTGAACAAACTACAGTACTCAGAACTTCAGAACTGTACTATTATTGTACCTACATTGCCTATTCACAACGCCGTATGACCACTTTCCTTGTAGTTAGACTATAGTGTAACTGGATTAATTTTTTTTACGATCTTCGTAGACTCAGGCGATCGTCTATCTTGAATTAAAGCGAACTTGGATGGGAGTGGAATATCATAATTTAAAATTTTACTCTGTAAGAATATAAATATTGTAAGGTATCAAAAAAAAAAAAGAAAAAAAATCATGCAAAGTTCTGGAAAAATTCGTTGAGTATTATTTATCGACGACAGCTGTTAAAAATCTATGCAAGTCGATGGATCGATAGTCGATTATAATAACCGTCGATACATTAAAATCATTGCGGAAGGAAGGAACATAATACCCATGATATTTTATTTTTGTGTCAAGAGTATTCAAATAAGGTCGTACGTAATATCATCGAAATGTACAAAAAATATCGGATGACTGTGCAGCAGGTTGTGGAGAAACTTTTTTTGGAAAAGTCACGTGTTTCACCGCATCCGGCATCGACAGCAACTGCCTCACAACACGACGCTGTATTTATTGTTCTTCGAGCACGCCGGAGTTGGCGGGTGACCCACAGACGTAATCGTGGCGTTCGGTGGCGGCGTGGGAGAGAAAAAGTAAAAACGTTTCCCGTCGCCGTCCCACCGGTGCGTTTCGTTGCGGTGCCGTGGACTCGCGCGACAGGGCGCCCCTTGTGTTTTCTCTCGCTGGTCAGCCAGCGTTGCCAGGGGGACTGCCGCCAGCACGGCGACGCGGAAAAGCCGGGAAACGCGACGCGCGCACGGGGAAAAACCCGCGCGTCATCAAGTGTTGCACCTCTTTAACGTTTGCACGCCACGACCGTACGCACGGCGAAGCTCTCAGTCGCGCGTTGTTCGCCCGTGCCCGTCGCCGTCGTCGTTGCGCCAGCGATCTCGTTTCGATATAATATTATTATACTTTCTACGAGAGTAGAACTTTCCGATTTGGTTCAATCCCTCGCTCGCTCTCTCTCTCTCTCTCACTCTCTCTCGTTCACTCTTTATCTCTCCCTCTCTCTCTCACTCTCTCTCCCCCTCTCTCTCTCTTTCCCCTCTGTACGTCCCCCCTCCCTCAAGACCGTTCACTCTCGCAGTCCATCGCCGTTTGGCGGTTTTTTTTTATCGACACTGCTGGACACCGATGTAAGTATACATTGCACATACGACCATACTATACCGTGGAGACTAATAGTTGGGGGCCATAATATAGACTCTAATAGTATACTTGTTGAGTCTCGTGTTAAAAATTATACAGTACCTACTAGGTATCACAATAGTTGTATCCTAGGTCAAAATAAACATTTACCTTACTTTTTTGTATGATCTAAAACTGTTAAAATCCTGAGTTGTTAAATATTTACAGGTAAGGTCTAGTGTTTTTTATTTAAACAGTTGAAAAAAAAACAATGTTATTTAAATAATCAGAAATAATTTAAAAATTCTTCTTTGCGAATTAGTTATTTTTATTTTAAAATGCAGATTTAGTACCGTGAAACTTTTTTCGACGATTATATTTTCATATTCATTTTTTTTAAAACGTTTACATGTTATTTTGTATAATATCATTTTTCAGACACTTATGGAATAAAAACTTAAATCCGTCAATAGAAAACGTTTGTCTTTTTTACTAAACATAATAATATTAGGCTTGTCCATTATGTATGGAATGTGAACAAATACTGGCAGAATTACCAGTTTATAATATTGTTGTGTATTTAAAAAAATATAATATTCAAAATTGTTTAGATTAGATGATTACGAAAAATTCGTAGGTCGAAAAAATCAGAATTAATATGCATATATTCGTACATCAGACTCAAAAAAATGGTTATGAACCTAATATTTGGCTAAACTATTTAGTATTTAGTATACTCAGACCTAATTCGTATTTAATTTAAAACTGTTATTATTTTTTAGCTGAACTCTAATACAGCTGTATATTTTAATAGATTTAATATTTAAAGGAAGTTGAACAAGGAGCCTCATACTAAAATAGTAGTGTTTGAGCACTTCCGATATTACACGACCATTTGTATTTTATAAGTTTGTGATAAAACTTTTAAGATGTCCGATATAAATATTTTTCTATTGAATGTATAAACGAATATATACATATATTATCATCTAAGGCTGCCAGAACGGAAAACGACTTTTGTGGTTGGGAAACGTTAGATATGCCACTTTATACAACTAACTTTTATTCTATAGAATTCTGATACATTTTTTATGGTATCATTTACGCAAACATCGTTAATGAAAAAAAAATCTTTACTTATTTATATTATTAATAGGTATATTATACATATAGAATTTTAAATTAAAAATTAATTTATTCGATATCAGTTATACAAGCAAAGGGAAATTGATATTTTGATAATTACATTTTTGCCATTGCAATCTGTGACGTCCCGTTAAATTTAAAAATTGGAACGCTAATTATATTGTAGTCACAATATTGTAAGCTTGTTATATACATATATATATATATAATATGGTGTTCGTTTGGAAACAGCTATTTAAATGTGTCAACGCTATAATATGTTGTATCCTTCCTCTTTCCTTCTTTTATTGATATTAATGAGTGATTGTGTTTTTTTTCAAAACAATAGGTACCTACATTTATTTGATTAAAATTTTTTTTTCATATTACGAAAAACGTTTTCTATTATCATATGAAGAAACAATAACACAACATGTACGTTTATTTGCTCATTGTATTTTTGACTCTCCGTTAGAATATCAAAATAAGGAGGTTTAAGTTCATGTTGACCATGTCAACATATTAATATGACATCAAATAATATTTAATAATATAAATACTTTAACCAATAATGCATTATAAATAAAAGAGGTAAAACGTCATTGTCTTTATAAACAAATTAAACTCTTTATGATAGTATTATTATATAAGATTACAAAATATCACTTAAGGTCTATTAAAATTAAAGTCAAGATGAAATCTAGAACGAGGGTAAAAATTGTTTTATATATATTATTGAAAAATATATGTATTTATATAGAGGATACATAGGTTTCATAGGTTTATATATTACTGAGAAATAATTTTAGTTACTCGACAACAATCCACAAAATAATCGGTTTTTGTTTACAATTTTCAAATTGACTTCGATAGCCATCCGTTGAACAATAATAATGAGTTAGAATTCCTTTACGTTATGAAGAACACAACGTAATTTAATAAGGAATAGCATGCACTTGTCATAACAATACAGTTATTATTTTATTAACTTTCGATAGAGGTGTTTTATTTTATGGCCGTATACATCTAGCAATATAAAAAATTATTAATTATTGTTGTTTCAGCCTAATAGGGATGGAGAATAATTAGCATCAAACACGTCATATTTTAAGTTTTGTTTTATCCAACATTTTTGGCGGGTATAGTCTTTCGGTTTTATTTTTTTTGTGCTCGAAAAAACCCATAAATATAGCTCTCAAGCCCCAATAAATTCCTGAGATTCATTACACGGATTATTACTTCAAACTCGGCTTCTTTCTACTTTGTTGTCCACCAAAAGTTGCGCACGCTCGACGGTCCAAAGTTATTTGCGTCCTTAACTTATCCTACCCAGCTATAGTTGAACATTTTGAAACGATAACTAATGGTTTTGTAACTAGATATGATGAAATATGACGTTACATTGTATTGGATAAGAACAGAATAGAGAAAATATAGGTGAATGGTGTTTAGAGAGGGTGAGCATTATCGAAATTCAGACTGAAAGTTTGAAAGGGAATGGGATGTTATGTACTAGAGTTTAGTAATGCTTTCAAAGTAGTACGAACAATAGGATATTGTGAAGGTAAACAAAAATCGTTTAGTAATTTAATGCCAAGTAGTGTTACATATCATGATGCTTAAACCTACTTGATATTGAATATAATACGAGGTAATGATTTATGCTTAAATGCTTTAGAAATCAATTATAGTTTACTATTATGTTCTCAATAAATTATATTCAATGTATTGAATTCACGTTTTACAAAGTATTTTTTAATTTTTTGACCTAAAAAAAAAAATATAAAGCATTCAAAAATGTGTTTTTAATACATTAAGATACTATACATGGATACTGGCATATGAAGTTTTCTGTTATACCCCAATAGTATGTTTAATTTGATTGATTTTCTATACATACTGAAATTCGTGGTTATTATACTTGTGTTTGTGCTTACAAAAATGAAATATACAAATCAACCTGATAAGAAACACCTACTATACCGATAATGCTAAGTTCCTGAATACCGGCCCGTAATACTTACATTATTTACGAGTCTAATATGATACACAAAATTATATTAACTAATGTGATATTTTAATAATACCAGATATTATAAAAAAAAAACAAATAATTATAATTATGTATAAAAACAGAAAATATTATAAATACCTAATATAATTAATATAATATCGTTTATATGGTACATTAAATTCTATTGGTAAGGAAAATATACTGTCAAATTATTTTGGTTTCTTATGAAATCGACACACATAATGTGTTGGCAACTTCCTCAAATATAGTCTGAACGAAAGAAACACACAAACTATGGTTAGGCACATAGATTTCGTAATTTTATTTCATTGCCTACACGAGGAAATTTATTGACCTTTATGAGACTATACGACCATAATAGACCGTAAGTACACGTGTAGGCTGTAGAATTAACTCAAGTACATCATTGTAGACAATCGTTATAGTGTTTTAACATCGTTAGTTCCGAAATATATGTTGATTATTTATTGTTGATGTATATTATTGGATAATGATGTTTGTTGAGTATTAACATCAATTCAGAGAGTGATTTATCGCTTACTCTCTATCTCGCTCCCTCTATTTCTCTTTATCCTTCTTGCTCTAAAAAAACAACTTATACTACTTTTACCAAACAATATAGGTAGTTATTTTGTTTCAGTTCAATAGTAAATTTATATTTTATATTTAATTAATTTATGATGGATATTGGATAGGTAGTATAATATTTCGTATTATTTTTACCGTCAGCTGTAATATTCAAGAAAAACCACTATTATTACTACCCATTACATAGCGACCTCGTCTACAGTTAAAAATTTACCTCGGGTTTCTCTAATGGTATTAACCAAAGGGTAAATGTATACTGATGTTTGCGTTTTTGCTCGACGCAGACAATATGATTATCAATGAGTGAAATAATTACACGAAGCACTAATGAACTTGTTTTTGAGCAGCGTGTGTGTGAAGCACCAATGGATGCTAGTAATGATTATGCAGGGCATCGGTAACGTCAGCAATTTTAAAGTTCAGTCAAATGTGGTTCATTTAATCATATAGTAACCATGAGGTGGATATCGATGATGTACTATAAACGATACTCAACCTCGTCGAATAGCAGAATCTCCACTTTTGCATTGACATTGAACGAGTTATATTTCCATAATATGATGGAAATTATAATGATCTCCACCATTTGATAGCAACTATGTTGAAATACTCTAAAAAAGTTTTCTACAAACAGACATATAGAGCTACAGAAACGGAATATAATATAAATTTAATACTAACTTATCATGACCCGGTTTCACTTAAAATTATAGATGGACGAATGTGTTGAGTTTTTTAATGTATATATAATATTTTTCATTGCTTTAAATTGAAAATGTATTAAGAAATAATACCCAGTACCTAATTGGTAAGTAGTATAATAATTATTCTCGAATTCTTAGTTTTGAGGGGTGGGGCAAAAATTATCATTTATTAATTATAAGGAGAATAAGTTGTAAAAGTCTTTAATCTGGGTTGAATTAAGTACCTTGACTGTGTGCAAAAAAATGAGTACAAGTTCTAAACAATAAGCCAAATAAAATATATAATGTACTTTAACGGTAGATATTGCAATGAAAATGCATAATGTAAAATAATCACTCCTAGCTACTATATTATTATTTTTGGATTATTATCTATTACCTATATGATGATTACTGTTTTCTCACGTTACATAATATAATATGTGTACAAAACACACTGTTCAATTGTTGCGGTGAACGCAATAATACGGCAATGGAATAAACGTAAACTGTGAAATGTCGAGATAAGGCAACTGTGTAGTGTTTATTTTTCTCGACGAAATTAACTAATACCTAA